ATCAAAATTATCAAAATTAAATGTTTTTATCCTCCGCGGATACGAACCGAACTCTGATGATGCATCTATTATTGTTTATAAATTCCGCCCAGAGAGAACTGGTTTCAATATGTGCGTAGAGTATACACGACCGCAATTAACTTTCCTTGCATTATATCCTCGGAGACGTATGTCAAGTCCAAGAAGCTAGTCTTTAAACTTTTCTCTGCAGATAAAGGATGAATGATACATCTTTTTAAATCTAAAAATAGATCATTTTCAATTGTGGTATCTTAATCACAGTGACTTACGGACTAATGCTACAGATACAATAAATAAAGGAAATTTGGCATTATTTTGAAAATGAAAACGACAACATCTTTCTCATTGTTACCCAGATACTGATAGAGGTTTACAGGATACTCTTGAGAGGGTCACGTCTCTTTAATTAAATAAAAATATTTCAATAAATTCAACCCCCCTGAGTTTGAACTATTTCTAGCTGCAAAACAAAAATTTTGTATTCCATTGTTAGTATTGATATAGATGAAATATGTATGTAAAGGTTGTATGAAAATGGTTTGTAATTAGTATTTATATAGAAGGAGGAAGGGAGGGGATTATGTTTTAAATTTAAACTCTATTAAATGTAATCCTGCACACGTTCTGTTCTTGCGTAGAATCTCTTTAATGGTGGATGTTGCAGAGATGTTAAAAATAATTTTATGCTGTGCACTGTTAGAGAATTTCTAATAATATTGCTGGTCCCCTGGGGACTATGGTACACGGAATATATGAACAGAGAAAACCGTACTATACCCTGACGTACATTATATAATAATAGAAAACCATGTTTAACCATACAAAACCATATGTTATCCATACTAAACATGTGTTATCATACCAAACCATGTGTTATCATACCAAACCATGTGTTATCATACCAAACCATGTGTTATCATACCAAACCATGTGTTATCATACCAAACCATGTGTTATCCAACCAAAAATGTGTTATCATACCAAACCGTGTGTTATACATACCAAACATGTGTTATCATACCAAACCATGTGTTATACATACCAAACATGTGTTATCATACCAAACCATGTGTTATACATACCAAACATGTGTTATCATACCAAACCATGTGTTATCCAACCAAACATGTGTTATCATACCAACCATGTGTTATCATACCAAAGCATGTGGCATCATACCAAACCATGTGTTATCCATACCAAACATGTGCCATCATACCAAACCATGTGTTATCCATACCAAACATGCGTTATCATACCAAACCATTTGTTATCCATACTAAACATGTGTTATCATACCAAACCATGTTTATCATACCAAACCATGTGCCATCATACAAAACCATGTGCCATCATACCAAACCATGTGTTATCATACTAAACCAAGGGTTTTCAAATCAAGCTATGTGTTATCACACCAAACCACGTGTTATCACACCAAACCATGTGTACACCAAACCATGTGTCATCAACCCAAACCATGTTTAAAGGGAGTGTCTGTCTAGAAATGGTAGTTGAGGTGAGAGTGCAGTTTTGTAGAGATTTTTTTAGGATTAAAATGTGAGACCTTTCAGACATTTTTACGATGCAGAAAATGTTTATTTACAATGAGACCAATAACTGAATAAGATTACTTATTTTCTCATCCTGTTCCTAAACAACTTATCAATTTTCTTTAGAGTTTTTGTAATAATTTTCGTGGTCGTCATTTAACTGTTTTTTAAAAACCAATGCTCAAAATCATGATTGTATGAATTATAAAAGAAACAAGTTAAAAAGTGCAATAGAATTATAAAGTCAATTAAGTTTGTCAAAAATTTGAAGATTTCTAAAAATAAGAAAGCAGTATAATTTAGTTGAAGTTTGAACACCATTTATTTAACCAACTTTCCGCTAATTCCAGTATTTTAGACTGTAAAAATGATGAATTGCTTTATAATTTAAACTTGCGAAAGAACAATAAAATTGAGGTAATAAGAAGTGTGCAAAAAGGTAATTTGTGTAATATTTTCTTAATTCTAGTATTTCAAAAAAAAACATTGATTTAGGATGATTGACGAGCCTTCAAATTGAAAATAGATAAATCGAGAAAATAAAACACTGAACAAAAAATACTGGCGTGGATTTATTTTCTGTACTCCTTAAAAAATACTTAAAATAAATTTGACCATATTAGATAAATTCTTTAAAAAATACAAAGGAATTGGGTAAATTTGAGTAAATTTTCAACCCAATTTACAAGCTCAGGTTACTAAGATATAGGGATTAGAAAGCTTGAGTTTGTGGCAGAGACTCAATTCCTTTCTAGAGTTGTATTCACGTGCTGAAAAGCTTATTGAACATCATGGATTGGTTCCCAGGCAACTCTTAAAAACAATTAATCCTAATTTGCCAAATCCTGTCTTCTCTAATTCTCCTAATCTATAGGATGAAAGCAATTACTATTTACTGAACTCTGCTCCTCGATATCGGAGAAACACCCGCTCTAACAAACCTACTTTAAAGGAACACTCGCTCTAACAAACCTACTTTAAAGGGACTTTAGACGTAATTTCAAATCACTTTTCATTTATAAAGATTCACAAAGCTATCCTTTAAACCTTTACCCGGACAACGATGAGGTAGATACCCTTGTTCATATATCTCTATATGAATTTGGCTTGTCTGTTTGTTTGTATCCAATAAACGTCGAAACGGATGAACCGATCGGGCCCAAATTTTGTGTGGGACCTCACGTGACCCCAGGGAAGGTTTATGAATTATCAAAATTTAAAAAATTTGTGTTAAAAACTTTTTAAATTTTTTTTAAAGATTTTGAAAATGCGCGAAAAAACTTTTTTGTTTTTGTTTTATACTGTAGAAAGAGAAGATGCTCACAGTTAAAGCCACAGTTAAAAGTTGAAATAGAAGATGGGCGCGAAGCGCCCTAAAAGCCTAGTATAGTTAAAGATTAAGTGCCGGGCCGGAAGCAAGGTTATAATGCAAGGAAAGTTATTTCAGAGGAGTACGCATCTTTTGTAATGTAGTGTACTGTCTCATGGGCGGTAATATAAACACAAGACGGATGTCGAAGCCGGAAAAGGGAACCATCTTTCACATAATAAAATCAATGAAATATTATGGTCATAGGAAACTATTATTTGAACTATTAATATTATCAAAATTCAATGCTTTTAACCTTCTCGGATACTGAACGAACACTGATGCATCTGTTCTTGTTTACAAATTCAGACCAGAGAGAACCGGTTTCAATATGTACGCAGAGTATACGCAACTGCAATTAACTTTCCTTGCAACTGAGTATAATTTGTTAGGGATCACTCCCCCTGCCTCCCCCCCCCCTCTGCCAATATGAACAGTAAAGGGTTCTTTAATGACCAATGAGACTTTGGTTAAAAAGAGAAAAACAGAGTGCTGGGACTATTCTTAAATTCTCAGGAGAAATGTAAATCTCTGAATCGGATTGTCTCCGGGTTGTATTTTCTACAGGCTCCGCTCTATATTCTTCCTCACACTGTAAATATAACCTGGAGTTAAGGAAACTAAAGAAAAATAGAAAACAACCTCCAGCAACAAAGCAGTAAGGAAATATTTAAAAGATAATATCTTGGTTCAATTCAAATTTATAATATTTATTAACCTAGAAACCTGGTTTAACAAACTCCGATGTTTACCCAATACTTGAATTCCAGGGGATTTAAGCAAGGATTTACAAAATACGGACTAAAACCGGAAATAACTCCAAATAACTCCTACACAGGAAATGAAATTTTATGTCATTGACCTTTAAAATTTAAACTACAAGTTTAGTTGGATCTATTTATATCAACAAGTCAAAGTTTGAAATATCAAAGGCGCATCAGGAAGCAAATTTATCAGTTCCTTTTTTTTGTGTTGAAAATACTGTCTTAAATATTATTATTTGACAATATTATAAATATTATAAATAATGTTTAACAGATAATTTCTACTGGTAGTAAATAGAAGTTGATTTATAACTGTACCATCTCAATTTTAGGATCATTTGGAACAAGGTTATACTGCAAGGAAAGTTATTTCAGAGGTGTACGCATCTTTTGTACTGCAGTGTACTGTCTCTGGGCGGTAATGTGAACACAAGACGGATGTCAAAGCCTGAAATGGGATCCATCTTTCACATAAAAAGTCAATGAAATATTCTGATCATAGGAAACTATTATGTGAATTATCAAAATGATCAAAATTTAATGCTTTTAACCTCCTCGGATTCTAACCGAACACTGATGCATCTATTATTGTTTACAAATTCCGCCCAGAGAGAACTGGTTTCAATATGTATGCAGAGTATACGCAGCTGCAATAAACTTTCCTTGCATTATAACCTTGATTTGGAAGATCAGAAAAAAAACTTTATTGAAAGGGTCTGTTCTCTAAATAAAAAGGGGGGCTTAATAACTACACAACGATACCTTTAAATCTTTATTTGAGGACCAATGAGGAAGATATCCATTGTTTCTTTAAAAAAAATGTTGACTCCATTCATTTTCTATGCAGCATAAATGCACGAGGCACTTTTCTGGCGAAAATACAATTACAAATAATTATTTATCAAGTGGAGGAATAAAGATATCTCATTTCTCTGGCTAAGGTTTACAGGGTACCGTTGTGAGTCGGACACCACTTAAAGTTACGTCTGCAGTCCTTTAACAACTCTGACTTAGCGTATATTCTAACTCAGTTTGAGCTGATTCTTATTATTAGATTGGAACTTAAGCATTTTTCTTTATCCATTGTTGGTTTGTTTAAATTTAGATCAGAACTAACTTAATTTAATCAATATGTTGTGTCTTCAATGTACAAAAGTATGTGCTTTTTTAATTTAAAAAAAAACTATTTTTCGATTTTTCTCAAAGCTTTGTTATACTTGATTGATTGTTTTAATCCCGCTTAAAGGTGACAAATCAAGATTTCATGGGATCTCCTGACTTCTACTGTTTCAGGTTTCCTGGGTTCGGAGAAGAGACTGGCATATCATGAGCCATGAAGAGCAAACCTTCTCCAGTGATGACAGGAAATACAATCAATCCTTCTCCTGGTTGGTTAGGATATATAAGGATCCAGTTAGGACGGATGGTTGGTTAGGATATATAAGGATCTAGTTAGGACGGATGGTTGGTTAGGATATATAAGGATCTAGTTAGGATTTAAGACAAATAAGTGAATGATTTGAAGTTATTTGATCATACAAAGCTTTTAAGGGTATCGTTGTGAATCAGGCATTGTCATTTTTGCGTGAAATTTCTGAAATTACGCTTACAGTCCCTTTAATATTGGATTTATGATAAATAAGTTTACAATTTAAAGATTAAATGTAGCTCATAGAAATCTACCAATCTTATGAAAGAAATATTGAAACAAATAAACAGTACTTTATTTCAGAAATTAAAAGGAAAAAATTCTAACGGCGCTGAGACTTTTCAAATTGTTAAGCAAACAATATTTTGCTATTTACTTGTTTTTGCTACTTTAATGCTAAATTAGCCAGGTCTCGGTAAATAAAGATATCAAGTCAAGTATTGACAATAAACATAAATAAACGGTAGAAAAATGACAGGTTTGACATAAAGATAAACGTAGTGTAAATATATGGACGTGTCCTCAAGTGATTTATATCTAATTGACAATTTTGTCCCTGGAGGCCAGAATTTATTTGATATCAATTAGAATTAAGTTCGGATTTACTTACTCAACTCAAGCAATTATTGTGCTTAAAACAGGTCTTATTGTTGTAATATCTGTATTCAGATCAAATTAGCTTGTTGCTTGGATACAGTTAGAATAATAACTCCTACTAGAATACAGATATAATGGAAATAGAATAGAGCTAGAATACCAACCCCAGCTTCTATATAGCTAGAATATGCTTACAATGTCGCTACAATAAAGCTAGAATACAGTAAAATGCAAGATAGAATAGAGCTAGAATACCAACCCCAGCTTCGATATAGCTAGAATTTGCCTACAATGTCGCTACAATAAAGCTAGAATACAGTAAAATTACAGATAGAATGGAGCTAGAATATCAACCCCAGCTTCGATATAACTAGAATATGCATACAATGTGGCTACAATAAAGCTAGAATACAGTGAAATGCCAGATAAAATAGAACTATAGAATATCAACCCCAGCTAGAATATATTTCATTATAGAATGCAGCTAAAACACCTAGAAAACAAAACCACTGCTAGAATACAATTTTAACCTGAAAAATGATTATGATTTCACAGGAAAACATTGACGTCATTAGGAAAACTTTCTTGTTTAAGGAAATATTATAAATCATTACAAAAGGTTTTGCAAGATCCTTAAACATATTTTTTACAAATAAGAATAATATGAAAGAAAAACATAATAGGTCTGAATTGGTTTTTTTTTGTGAATTTAAAGAAAATTCTGGAAAATAATATTTCAAACATTTCTTTTTTACCTAAAACCAACAGTGTATTGACATTAAGAGTTGTCTATTTCTGGTATCTAAATCTAATATGTAGGAAAGTTGTCTTGTCTGTTAGGTCTGATTGTGAAGGACATGTGTACTCTTGGTTGATGGAAACCTTTACTCTAGAAAATATAAAAGATAATAGTAAAACAAGATAACAATGGTGGTCAGTCATACTGCAGTCTTCTTAAAGGAACTTTCATTTAATTTGATGTCAACTTCAAATTAGTGAGAGGCACAAGGTTATAAAGTAAGGACAGTTATTTCAGAGGTGTACGCATCTTTCGTACTGCAGTGTACTGTCTATGGGCGGTAAGGTAAACACAAGACGGAGTCACAGCCTGACATGTGATTCATCTTTCACATAAAAAGTCAATGAAATATTCTGGTCAAAGGAAACTTTTATGTGAATTATCAAAATTATCAAAATTAAATGTTTTTATCCTCCGCGGATACGAACCGAACTCTGATGATGCATCTATTATTGTTTATAAATTCCGCCCAGAGAGAACTGGTTTCAATATGTGCGTAGAGTATACACGACCGCAATTAACTTTCCTTGCATTATATCCTCGGAGACGTATGTCAAGTCCAAGAAGCTAGTCTTTAAACTTTTCTCTGCAGATAAAGGATGAATGATACATCTTTTTAAATCTAAAAATAGATCATTTTCAATTGTGGTATCTTAATCACAGTGACTTACGGACTAATGCTACAGATACAATAAATAAAGGAAATTTGGCATTATTTTGAAAATGAAAACGACAACATCTTTCTCATTGTTACCCAGATACTGATAGAGGTTTACAGGATACTCTTGAGAGGGTCACGTCTCTTTAATTAAATAAAAATATTTCAATAAATTCAACCCCCCTGAGTTTGAACTATTTCTAGCTGCAAAACAAAAATTTTGTATTCCATTGTTAGTATTGATATAGATGAAATATGTATGTAAAGGTTGTATGAAAATGGTTTGTAATTAGTATTTATATAGAAGGAGGAAGGGAGGGGATTATGTTTTAAATTTAAACTCTATTAAATGTAATCCTGCACACGTTCTGTTCTTGCGTAGAATCTCTTTAATGGTGGATGTTGCAGAGATGTTAAAAATAATTTTATGCTGTGCACTGTTAGAGAATTTCTAATAATATTGCTGGTCCCCTGGGGACTATGGTACACGGAATATATGAACAGAGAAAACCGTACTATACCCTGACGTACATTATATAATAATAGAAAACCATGTTTAACCATACAAAACCATATGTTATCCATACTAAACATGTGTTATCATACCAAACCATGTGTTATCATACCAAACCATGTGTTATCTCCCTGTTGAGGCTAACGGTGTAAAAAGGATGAAGGGATATAAGTATAATTTCTAGGATAAGTTTCATGAATAAGTTTAGTGATCTATGGTAGAGGAAAAGTAGGAGAGGATAAAAAACTTTTCCTCGTTTTAGTACTAGACAAGGTGGTATAACACGGGCAGTCTTAGTACATTTGAATTTCCGAGCCGGGTCAACCTTTCCGGTCCTGGTTAGTACTGTATCGCCCGGACATTGGGTAAATAATGCTCAATAGGACTAGCCAGTGCAACAAGGTTGACGCGGTCACACTTTAGGTTAAATTTACTTTTACTAAAGGGTCAGAGTGGCCTGATTATAAGAATTTTAGTAATTCGAGTAATACTTTCTTATTATTAGATGTCAAGTTAACAAAAAATCTTACTTTTTGTTTACTAATAACTAAACAATTTTTATGTTGTTGCGTATAATGCGAGCTAAGTGCATTATTCAAAAGTGAACATAAGTGTACAGGGTGTCCCAATAAACATGGGAATTTATTGACGAATTCGATATCGTCTTTTTAAATGATTCTATGATTTAGTATAGTGATACCTACTGAGAAAGCTGTAATCTGTAAGAGTTTCGTCTGCTATGTTCACATTTTTTTTGTTTATGTTTTGACTGCATTCGGTAGTACATAGTAAAACAAGAAAATTGCAGTATACAAACAGAGTAAACTTGTCCGTCTTCACTGTTTATCTTGCGGAGACATAATAGATACATCTTTACAGTCTTTTACCCTTTTTATAAATATAATAATAATATCATGGCTTTTGAAATTAGGTATTACAATGCTAATTCATAACAAAGACTATATTGAATTTGTCTCTGAATTCCCATGCTTTTTGGGACACCCTATATAAATGATTTTTACAAAACTTAACAGAAAATGTTTGGTGGAAATTTTTCATGATTATATTTATCCCGCTAATCTAAATTTATGATGTCCCCCATTCTAGCATAGATCAATTAAAATTTAATTTTGAAATTCAACAATCGACATTGTAATTAGGATATTTTGTTTGTCTAATTTGTAGCTTTCAGCGATTAAATATTTAACATTTTAGGGGTTCAGTTTGATACCTTTTCGCTTCCCCGGGCCCCCTTTCTTTCTTTTTCAATGGTTTTTATAGAAATATATCTGATAAAATAAACAATATTGGAAAACCCTAAAATAAATGATTTAATCGTATTGGATTATATTTAACCATGCAACTTACCAGACCAAATGTTGAATTATATAACTGCTAATAACAAATATTGCGGTAAATTCCTTAAAGGGAGTCACCTGCAATGTATGGTATTTAAACTGTGAAAGTAGTATCATGCAGAATTTTTTGGGAATCAATTCAAACCTATAAGACTTTTTTAAATTGGCATATTTGTTCAGCAAGAGCCCAAATTCAATCTTTAAAATTCTCATAGATTTTTAATTTTTGAGGGATGATTTTGACAATCGGTTTTTAAAAAAAATATTCAATAACGACGACGAAAAATGTAGTAAAATTCTACAGTAAACTAATCTGTTGTTTAGGAACAGGTTGAGAAAATAAAAAATGACTTTCATCATCCAAAATAAGTAATCTTATTCAGTTATTGGTTTCTGTAATGTCTCATAGTTTACAAACACTTTCAGTAGATATCCTGGAATTTTTATTGAAAAGACGACATTTCAAGAATTTGAAGAAACCTTCGAACAAATTCATAAAGAATAATAAATTCAATATATTGAAGAACTAGAAATAAGTGATTCTAACATTGTTTACATTTTTTGTCGTCGTTATTTAATAATTTTTAAAAAATCGATTAGCACAACGTAACCACCCAAATGGATGATTTTGAACGGCAACTTTGCGCTCAAACTCAGTGATTATACATCATTAAAATTTGTTATATGTCTCAAATGAATCCTAAAAATTTCTCCGCAATATACTACATTCTCTGTTCAACTACCACACATTGCCGGTCACTCCCCTTAAACCAGATTTGCACCACCCTCTTCCCCTCGCAGTAAAACCCAAAGTTTGCAATGTCCAATCTCAATAATTTGTATGTATACTATACACTTATAAATAATGCATATTCATTTTATAGATATATACAATGACGACTGTAGAAATTTTAAACATGTTGTAAAAGAGCCACGAAGAAGAACCAAAAATTTTAATTTCTGATTTGATACTAACTTATTTTACTTTGACGTGAAATTAAAACAAGAGGGGCTACGAGGTCACAAAATTGTACCAGTAATTTTTCATAAATTTGATTTTTACTTAAGTCATGATTAAAGTGATATACATATTCTAAACAACGATATTTGCATAAAAAATATCCTTCCTCTTGGATCCCAGCAATTCATAGAGAAAAGCTTCTTGTTCTATAAATAGAATAACTGGGTTGGTAATTAGATAACACTTAAATCAGCTGGATAGCGGATACTATAGTGGTAGGCAATTATATCAATACAATGAAGACGACTTTTTTATTTAAGTTTTGATTGTTAACAAGCTTTTTTCGAATTACAAGTTTACAAGTTATCAAGGAGAAGCTTTTTTCTTGACAGCTTCTCTTGGCTTCTATTTTTATGTGTATCCATGCAGTTTAAAAGCTTGATTTAAATCAAATTTGAAATCGAAAAACGTCTTCATTGTGTTGATATAATCGCCTACCACTGAATATGTTTATCTGGACTTCATTGGAACATCCTTCTGCGATATGTACTCTCCACTACACCCCACTATTTCTTCGGTCAGAGTACTGAAAACCACTGCAGAAAACACACCGAAAACTTAGTGTGGGGGGACTGATGTCTTATTGTGAGATGAATTCCGGGAAAAAATAGAAAGAAAGTTGATTTCAAAAGTGGAATGTGTAGACATTTTTGTTGTTTTATTAGTTGAAGATTTAAGGAATAAAGAGTGACAATTAAAGTAACATTAATAAGGTAAAACTATTGCAATGAACAGAGGAATAGTTCCTAGTATTAAAACGAATTATTCATTGATCACCCTGAGGCCGAATTTAAAGAATTTGAGCCGCGGCTTAAATTTAAGCCGTAGCTCAAATATGGTTGGTTCCAGTTAAAAATCATATTCATTATTTCAAGATTTAAGCCGGCGCTCAATTTCATTAAATTCGGACACTGGACTTCTGAAATTAGGTTTTAATCACGTGTTGATATATATAGTTTAACAATCTTAAAACTTATGGAGTTTTTTAATCACGTTATGATATATATAGTTTAACAATCTTAAAACTTATGGAGTTTTTTTATATTTTTCTTCCGCATACAAAAAGTATAAAAGAGAAAGGCGAAAAATTTATGTTTATTTAATTAAATTATGATCGATAGTCATACTTGCTGGAGCAGGACCGAACTGGAAAATCAGCGTGTTTTGATACAGTCCGGGCATAAGAAAAGTATTAAAAAAGCAACACGAATTCAAAGATTGGTTGAGAAACAAGCGAAAAAATTTTACACAGAGAACAGGTAGAGGATAATTCATTGTAAATTGTTAAATTTTATTTCAAATGTTAACAGGATGATAAAAACCTACATGTTGACAGTAGAGGATTAAAAGTTTTGAGCTGAGTATTCAAATGTAATATTTTGGGAAAAGTTTAAAGTTGCATCAGACATATAAAACATTTTCCCTCCAATCTAGACAACGGAACCGGGAAATTTGATGCAAAACTACTGATACAATTGTACGCATCTTTTGTACTGCAGTGTACTGTCTCTGGGCGGTAATGTAAACCGGAGATGGATGTCACAGCCTTACATGGGATCCATCTTTTACATAAAAAATGAAATATTTTGGTCAGGGGAAACTATTATGTAAATTATCAAAATTCAATGCTTTTATCCTACTCGGATACTAAAGTAACACTGATGTATCTATTCGTGTTCACAAATTCCGCCCAGAGAGAACTGATTTCAATATGTACGCAGAGTATACGCAACTGCAATTAACTTTCCTTGCATTATAAACTTGATCCCAACTAAGTTTCAATGCATATTGCAAATCAAAATTCAAAACTTTTTATTTGTCTCACAGCTCTTCAAAAAGAGGAATTATGGTAGAAAGCATGTAGCAATATAACTCTCCAAAAACATATATGTATTTTTATATACTTAAAGAGTATTTAGTGTGAATGTATTTTACACACAGCCGGCCATACCATGGGACATACATACAAAATAAAAATACAAAATACATAAAGGAGCTGTAAATAGGAAAGTATAAAACACAATGTAAAATTAATTAATCAAGAGTCTCGGCGAACTATCAAATATCAATGTACATATATATATGTTGTATATGAATTAATCTTGAAAAAAACCACTAATTATATATATAGTACTAGCCTTAGAGGGCGCTTCGCGCCCATCTTCTAAATTAATTGTGAACATGTTCTCTTTGTGTACATCGTAAAACAAAACAAAAATAATTCGCGGATTTTCACAAAAAAATTCGTGGATTTTCAAAATTTTCAAAAATTTAATGAAGATCAAATTTTGATGGAGACAAATATTTGAAATTTTGATCATTCATAAGCCTTCCCTGGGGTCCCTAGATGTCCCACAAAAAATTTGGGCCCGATCGGTTCAGCCGTTTTGACGTTTATTGGACACAAACAAACAAACAAACAGACAAGCCAAATTTATATATAGATAGGAAGGGGAAGGACGGGGAAAGAAAAAGTAACTTAGAGAATAAGAAAAAGTAAAAAATAAGTAAATAGAGAAAGGAAGTTGAAGGACAGGGAGAAGGAGAAAGGAAGTTAAAGGACAGGGGAGAGAGAAAAGAAGTTGAAGGACAGGGAGAAGGAAAAATGAAGTTAAAGGAAAGGGGATAGAGAAAGGAAGTTGAAGGATAGGGAGAAGGAAAAAGGAAGTTAAAGGACAGGGGATAGAGAAAGGAAGTTGAAGGACAGGGAGAAGGAAAAAGGAAGTTAAAGGACAGGGAGAAGGAAAAAGGAAGGTGAAGGACAGGGAGAAGGAAAAAGGAAGGTGAAGGACAGGTGAAAGAGAAAGGAAGTTGAAGGACAATGGAAAGAGAAAGGAATTTATTGACCAAAGAACAAGAAAGGAGAATGAAAAGAAAGTGAAAAATGCACACGTGGAAGGATCTAGAGAAAGGTCAATATTACCAAAACCGAGAAGAAAATGGAACAGAAAATGTTTAATGTTGAAATAAATTGATAAAATATTTCACTTTGCCCGCAGGTAATAGAAAAAGTTTGCAAATATTGTCACAAAATAAAATCTTGTTATCAGAAATTAGATCTTTTTTTATGCAAAACAAGGATTAGGGTAGACATTCAAACCATTCAAGTAACTCTAAAAAAAATAATAAATAAGATATTTCTACTGTGTGTTGACGAAACAAACATATATTAATATCATTAATGATTGAACACAAGCTTTTGTCCATTCTGTTTATTTGATTATAATTAAAGAAATAAATTGATCTATTTCAAAGAAACCGATTAGATCTGATTAATTCCTTAATTAGTTGAGCTTAATCCTTGATCCTTGTTTCTGGTTGGTTGGTTGGGTTTCGAGTGATGGATCGTTTGATGGATAGGATAAAGGTCTACATCAAGGTGGGTTCATTTAATGGATCAACGGAACAAAATGGGCCAGCAATATATATTGAGTTTACGCCATAAACCTCTTATTCGAGTTAAGTAAGGCTCGGTCGCTTGAGTCATATTTTTTAGAGAAGTCTCTGATATGTCATAGTAAAGTTACGTTGAAGTTATGAAATCCGACTTAAAACTCTTGAAATGTAATTTTAAACACGAATCAGAGACCAAACTAATACTTTGGCGGGCTGTCTACGTAAATGCGTCATAAGAGCTAGAAGTATAACAAGGAGTTTTGGGCTCAACTTCCTATTAGAGGGAGAAATCAAGCTAAACTGCCTTTTTAAACTGCCTGACGAGGCATTCCAGTTTTGGTACGATGTAAATACAGAGTAGGGAGGCAATTATGGTACAAACATTTTATAAAGAAGGATTTTCAATATTTTGCTACACATGTCCATTAGGGTCTGAACCAATCAGGGTTCACTCACGTGCTTGCTGAGTATTCGGACCAATAGAATTGCAAATGAGACAAGATCTATCTATATGTATATTCAAATCTTATAAGCCAATTAGAGATCCTTACATAAATTAGAGGCATTGACGTAATAAAATGCTTAACTTGTTTCAAAACCATGGTAAATAAAGAACCGGAAAGTTTTAAATTTTTCAATTTATAAAAACTTGAGAGACAATGATTGGTTTGTATGGTGAACAGGGTTCAGGTCAAGCATCAGCAAGAAGAGAAGGATTGGGTTCTACAAATTAAATTTGTTCAACAACGAGACTCAGGGCTTTATGAATGCCAGGTTGGTAGTTTTAAGATTTAAATCTATAAAATAATTCAATAAATAAAACATCTATTCTACACGTCCTGTCCTATCTATGTAATATGTTGTTCGAACAATACGACTTTTACCCATCCTGTCCTATCAATGTAACCTGTAGATATATCGATATTATTTCTACCCGTCCTGTCCTATCAATGTAACCTGTAGATCGATCAATATAAAATCTACCCGTCCTGTCCTATCAATGTAACCTGTAGATCGATCAATATAATTTTTATCCGTCCTGTCCTATCAATGTAACCTGTAGATCGATCAATATAATTTCTACCCGTCCTGTCCTATCAATGTAACCTGTAAATCGATCAATATAATTTCTACCCGTCCTGTCCTATCAATGTAACCTGTAGATCGATCAATATCATTTCTACCCGTCGAGTCCTGTCCTATCTATGTAAAACATAAAACATTCGAGTTTGTTTCAAAAAATAAATTCCTTTATTTGAATCATAGCGCCAATGAGCATATATTTTTCTTAAAAACCACATAATCTAATCTATTTCAACCCATCCCATACATCCAATTATACCCCGAAGCAAGAAGACAATTATACGAAGTATCCCTGGGCTCCCTGAGTATAAATCTAGGAATAAGAATAAGAATTGCTCAGCTAAATGTATCTTAACGGAGAACAAAAAGAATAATCTATTGCAAAGTAGGAGAAACAAAACAAAGAGGATTAAGGACCTTAGAGGATTAGGAATCCTGCAGAGGGTTAGGAATCCTGGAGGATTAGCAAACCTGAAGTATTAGCAAACCTGGAGGATTAGCAAACCTGGAGGATTAGCAAACCTGGAGAATTAGCAAACCTGAAGTATTAGCAAACCTGGAGGATTAGCAAACCTGGAGAATTAGCAAACCTGGAGAATTAGCAAACCTGGAGGATTAGCAAACCTGGTGGATTAGCAAACCTGGAGGATTAGCAAACCTGAAGGATTAGCAAACCTGAAGGATTAGCAAACCTGGAGGGTTAGCAAACCTGAAGGATTAGCAAACCTGGTGGATTAGCAAACCTGGAGGATTAGGAATCTCAGAGGATTAGGAATCCTGGAGGATTAGGAATCCTGGAGGATCAGGAATCCTGGAGGATTAGGAATCCTGGAGGATTAGGAATCCTGGAGGAATAGGAATCGTGGAGAATTAGGAATCCTGGAGGATTAGCAAACCTGGAGGATTAGCAAACCTGGAGGATCAGCAAACCTGATGGATTAGCAAACCTGGAGGATTAGAAAACCTGATGGATTAGCAAACCTAGAGGGTTAGCAAACCTGAAGGATTAGGAATCTCGGAGGATTAGGAATCTCGGAGGGTTAGGAATCCCAGAGGATTAGGAATCCCAGAGGGTTAGGAATCCTGGCGGATTAGCAAACCTGGAAGAATAGCAAACCTGGAGGATTAGGAAACCTGGAGGATTAGGAATCTCAGAGGATTAGGAATCTCAGAGGGTTAGGAATCCTGGAGTATTAGGAAACTCAGAGGATTACGAATCCTTGAGGATTAGGAATTATGAAAGATTTGAAATCCAAAACATTAATCCTAGAGGATTAGAAATCATGAGGGTTAGAAATTCTGAAGGATTAGGAAACCCTCATGATTTAGGAATCCTGGAATATAGGAATGTTGTCAAAAAACCCCCCCAAAAAAATCAAAAAACCGTAAACGAACCAGGGTCGTATTCAGGAATTTGTCCAGGGGGGACTTACATTTTTTCTTTCCAGGGGGGGGGGCTTTGCACCCGTTGGGGCATGAAAAACCCCTGAAATCAATAGATTTCACTGGTCCAGGGGGGGCTTAGCCCCAATAGCCCCCCCCCCTGAATAAGCATCTGAAAAGAACCCCTGGTTTTGAACACTCCTTGTAACTAATAACCAATCAACGAATCCAGTTTCTTTAGAATTGATTCTGAAATAAAGTAAGTTCAGTTTTGACAAATAGTTTCCTGACCAATATTTGAAAGTAATACAATAATAAAACCTAGTGCCTGCTAGAGCTGGGTCTAAGTGTCAGTAAAACTAGTTTCAGATCTAACCAATAAACAAAATTGAAAATCCTGTTGATTTACTATTCCTATACTTTTATGTAAAAACTTCTTTCTTCTCTTTTCTTTTTCCCGGATTTTCACTTAGTTTTTGCCACAAAATCACAATATACCTTTGATACTTCAAACTTAGACTATTCTATCTAACAGAAATTAAAACTGTCAAAATTTATAGTTTGAAATATTAAAGGTTTGCAATGATAGGACTAGAAAAATAGTGTTTGTGGCAGGGTTATGCCGAAATATATTTTGCAAAGCTAGGAAAAAAAAGAATGATATCTTTTTTTAATAGAAAATCTTTAAGTTTAATCTCCGTAAATCCATTAAGACACGCTAAATAGTCCGAAACCTAAACTAAACCATCGCCTGGGAGATAACCGATTAAGCGTAATATGACCAGATTTAGAAGTTTTTACATCAGGTTTCATCGATGATTTTACTATATCTATAATGTGTATTAAGGTTACTACTGATGATGGTTCCGTGATATCCCGCCAGGTCCAGCTTGATGTCGTTACTCCGGAAGCTCTTATCCTTGGCAAGGAAGAATACCATATACAACAGGTATTAAGTTGTCATGTATAACCGGTGTACATTTGAATATCCGAGCAGGGTCAACCTTTGCAGTCCTAGTTTGGACTGTACCGCCAATTTACAATCACTAATACGGCTGACAGAAATACCGGAATGAATTTCGCCTTTTAGTTGGAAACGTCCTTATGCATTTTCTAATTTGGAACTGTTTGAACTCTAAACAGCATTTTCTAATTTGGAACTGTTTCAACTCTAAACAGCATTTTCTAATTTGGAACTGTTTCAACTCTAAACAGCATTTTCTAATTTGGAACTGTTTCAACTCTAAACAGCATTTTCTAATTTGGAACTGTTTCAACTCTAAACAGCATTTTCTAATTTGGAACTGTTTGAACTCTAAACAGCATTTTCTAATTTGGAACTGTTTCAACTCTAAACAGCATTTTCTAATTTGGAACTGTTTCAACTCTAAACAGCATTTTCTAATTTGGAACTGTTTCAACTCTAAAAATAGCCCCAAACTTTTTGAACAGAAAGAAGTTATTGAACCTTTCTCTTCAACTTTTACCGGCGCAAAAATAGAAGGGGTTCATATTTACGTATACGGTAAAGGTTTCTAATTTGGAACTGTTTAAACTCTAAACAGCAAGCAAGAAGTTATTGAACCTTTTTCTTAAACTTTTACCGGCGTAAAAATAGAAGGGTTCCTATTTACGTCTACGGTGGAGGTAGTTAAAGGAATTGAATATTTGTCAAACACTAAAATTTACGAATTCCTATATCTTTTCAACCTGATGGTATAAACCTTTGATACTACAAACTTAGATCATTTGAGCTAACAGAATTCACAAAGTAAAATATCTCAGGTCTATGACATTGGGTTGCAAAGTTTCAGAGATATATTAGTAATAACTGTTTCAAATACAATATATATGCCTACTTTTTTAATTAAAATACATAACAATATGAAAACTTTAATTCCGAATTATACTGGTTTGGACTGCATCAAAAACTATATAGAGGCTCGGATCAATTCATTTTCAGAATTTTAATGGAACATGAAACAATATTAACACTAAAAAAATCAGCTAATTCAATGACAAAATTGTCCTTGAGGACTGAGATATAAATGATATGAAATTTTAAATTGTTTGAATTATTTTAAGATTATCATTATCCCTTTAAGTTAGGGTTGTTAGAAAATAATAAATCTGGGATAATGACAGTTTTTCTGATCTGCACTCACCTTCTTTATCAACCATTCTTCATCGTAAAAATCATTTTATATAATTCAACTCAAATCTATATTCTATTCAAAACTTATTCAACGGATTAAACTTATTTAACGGATTAAACTTATTTAACGGGTTAAACTTATTTAACGGATTAAACTTACTTAACGGAATAAACTTATTTAACGGATTAAACTTATTTAACGGATTAAATTTGATTAACGGATTAAACTTATTTAAAGGATTAAACTTATTTAACGGATTAATTATTTTACAGATTAAACTTATTTTACGGATTAAACTTATTTTACGGATTAAACTTATTTAACGGATTAAACTTATTTAACGGATTAAACTTATTTAACAGATTAAACTTATTTAACGGATTAAATTTATTTAACGGATTAAACTTATTTAACGGATCAAACTTATTTAACGGATTAAACTTATTTAACAGATAACATTTCATGTGATCAGGTTACATTTGTTGCATATTCGTAATGGGTCTACTCTACACATGGTAGTCCAGACTGGACAGTACAACTTAAACAGGCTGGGGGGGGGGGGGCTTTGCATAGGATGCAGAGCAGTAAAGAGTCCGGTCCGTGTAAAAAATCTAAAAAAGCCCATATTTGTTTTATGACTAAAGCTACAGATCTAAAAACTATATTTTAGAAAAATGGACGTAGAAACTTGTGTCACACTTTGATATTTGTTTAAAACAAAACAAAAATAATTTTTACATTTTTTTACCCTTTTTGGCATTTTTTTCAACCCGCCCTAGCACCCAAACTATTTAGGAAATATCCTAAATTTTTTGGAGAAAATCCGAAAACCAATCAAAACTTTAGCACAGGTGCTATAATATACAGCTCATTTAACATTATAGCACGATCATTACATTATAGCACGGTGCAATAACGTACAGCTAATTTAAATTTATAGCACGATGATTACTTTATAGCACGTTCATTATGAAATGAAGTGAGTAAGAATGAAAAAGTACACCGCGATAGTTTCTTTTTCTGAACTTCGTTGTGAAGTAACAGTAAGAAATGATCTACTGTAGGGCTCCCTGATCTCTCTGATCTGTATCCTGGAGAACTCCCTGCTCCCCCCTGACTATGTGTTCTGGTACCAGAACGATAAGATGATCAACTTCGATTCTAACCGAGGAGTCTCAGTGCAGACTACAACTGGGAGAAAAACCAGCTCAAAATTAAATATTAAAAGGTGAGATAAAGTTTATAGGAGCATTTATTCTCAACCCAAATATACAGCTACTTTTAACACCAGATAACTATCTAACTATCTAAATATATAACTAACTATCTAACTATGGTTCTTTAACTATTTTTTCCAGATTACTATCCAACATTCTAACTATATAACTAACTTTCTAACCATAAACTTTTTAAAAATATTACGATCTAACCTATTGACTAACTCAACCATCTAACTATAAAACATTCTAAGCATCTAACTACCTATCTAACTATCTAATTTAAATATTAAACTATAAATATCTTATTATTAAAGTATCTTAACTATCGCTTATAAAAAATCTTTAAAATCTAACTATCGAGCTTTTTAACTTTCTAACATTCATCTAACTATCTAAATTATAATTCTTAAAGTCGTATTTCTATTTTAGTTTATGTTGGTATTTAATCTACTGTTAATCATCTCAAATTTCTTTAAAATCTAAATAATAAAATAACTAGTTTGTGTCAGTTAACCCCATAGTTTGATATCATTTCTTGGTCCTCCGGCCCTCTTGTCAAATTATATATTCTAGATGATCAATAAATCAATCGATAAATATTTATGTATTTATTCATAAATATATATATATCCACATCTAGAGGGGTTTGATAAATTCATTTTTAATTGGCTCTCTCTTCTCAGCTGTTATTAATCCTAGTAATTAGAAATACATTTATCTTAGCATATTTCGCCCCCCCTCTCGCGCCTCCCCCCCCCCCCAACACTTGACTCCAGCATGATCATGATATTGTGGACCATCTTTTATCAAATTTTGTCAATGAAAAAATGAAGAAAAAATACCAAAATTTTTCTTTGGTGCTTTGCGGCATAATTTCACCTAATTTCTCGTTTTCGACTTAAAGAAAGTCAGTCGTACTTAATTTATCTTCTCAAAAAACCTGTGTTACTTCTCTTGAGTATTACATAAGGTTACACGAATGACCTAAGAAGAATAACAAGAAATATAATAAGGATTTTCTCAGATTATTGGGACTTTTGAAGACTATAAGAGGAGAACAGGGTAAGCCCTTTACTGGCAAACAAGGACAGACGGACTTCAATCAGAAAGACTATTATGGATTATGGACAGACGAAATATAGTCAAGTACTGCCAGGAACTGCTTAATACTTAGGACTGCAAAGACCTACGATTTAGGGACTATATAGTGGACAAATGTGACTAGTGGATGAATTACAAAAGAACTGCTGTAATAGGGGACTTTTTATACATAGTGAATATGACTAAGCGAGGGACTATCAAACACTAAGAAATAAATGAAAAAACACTGGGAGAACACACAAAATATAAATGAAAAAACGCAAGAGGAACACACAAAATATAAATGAAAAAACACAAGAAGAACACACAAAATATAAATGAAAAAACGCAAGAGGAACACACAAAATATAAATGAAAAAAAAAACACTAGAAGAACACACAAAATATAAATGAAAAAACACTAGGAGAACACACAAAATATAAATGAAAAAACACAAGAAGAACACACAAAATATAAATGAAAAAACACTAGAAGAACACACAAAATATAAATGAAAAAACACAAGAAGAACACACAAAATATAAATGAAAAAACACAAGAAGAACAAACAAAATATAAATGAAAAAACACTAGAAGAACAAACAAAATATAAATGAAAAAAACACTAGAAGAACACACAAAATTTTGGCGCGTCGTTAATTTTAAAGTTGTTGGGAGTATACTTTTTTAAACACAACAACAATCCATTGATATTATAAAATTTTTGTATTTATTGAGCACAGAGCCAACAATTCAACAATTAAAAACTGCATGTTTTTTTACTTCAAATCCTGAAATTGCAGCGGTTTTTTTACCCCTGCACCCCCCAGCCCCTCAAAATAAAATTTCGCCCCCCATCAGCGATTGCTTTTTTTGCTCTATAGATGTATAAAGTAGTAATCTCGATTTTTTTGCTTCTTTGGATGTTTGATTATAACTCATGAATCGCTAGACCGATTTGCCTCAATTTTTTATTATGGAACTCAATAGAACCACGGGAATGATCTTTTTTGAGTGGATTGACTTTTTTCCATGCTAGTTCATCGTATGTATATAGATGCACTGTTTATATGAAAAGCAGCGCTGTCATTTTTTCAAATATACCAACCGTGGATGAGTTGAAATCATAAATGCGTAAATAAAATGGAAGGGGGGGGGGAGGGGGTAATGATAATTTCTTATAAACATATCACAATGTTATTGTATTTAATATGTGGATAATAGACAGCTGGTTATTAGTTTTTATATTCGTATTTTTATTAATTATATCAAATAATACACATTGAAAATAAATAATTAATTTAAAAAAAGCCTTCTTCGTTTGAATTTTTACGAAAGGAACTGAGTCTTTGCGTGAACAAAATCATATATTCTAATGCCTAAATATGTGCAACCTGATGGTGTACATCTTTGATATTTCAAATCTAATCTATTTCGATCTAACAGAATTCAAAGTTTAAAGTATAAACGTTGGACGACATTGGGTTCCAAAAATCAGAATTTGTGGCAAAAACTCATGTCCTTTGTTGAAAATTGAGAATCTTCGCAAATATATTAATTAAGTAATGGGTCTTTATGCAAGGAATATGCACTAGGAACCCCTATACGAACCCCTATATATTTTTACACAAAAAGGGTTCTGAAGTGTGGGAAGGAATATATACAACCTTGCAGCTTCTTGGCCTAAGCTTTGTTTAAATCCCGCCCAAAATTGTAATTTCTATGTAATATCTACTTAAAAGAATAAAACTGTGTATATTTACAGATTATTCTTCAACAAGCATTGTTTAGTTTATTTTATAGGTCAAATTAAATTTATGATATGCAATAAAAAGTAATCACGCAAAGTCTAGCCAACTAAATGATTAACTTTTTTTTCGGAAATAAAATTTTCTTTTGAATATTGAAAAATAATTTAAACCAGAAAATAACAAACATTTTTACTTATTTACGGTTTTTGAGCTAAACGTTGATTTTTTTTATTGAGAAAAATTCATAGAAATAGTTCGTTGAAAAATGTTGTGGATTTTGAGAAAGTTTGGAGAGAGAGAAAGAGATTTTATAACTCTGTCAAACCTTCGTTACTTTGAAGTTTCCTTTTCTTTTTTAATTATTTCCAAAAAATAATTTGACAATAATATTATCAATATAATTAATCAATAATATCAATAATTAATTAATAATTTAATTGGTTTTGTTTTAGTGCTAGACCAGAGCACAGTGGAAACTATACCTGTAAACCTTCCAGTGCAGTTCCAGCTTCGATACAGGTTTTCGTTTTAGGTAAGCAATTCTATACAGGTTTTCGTTTTAGGTAAACATTTTTACAGGTCTTTGTTTTAGGTAAGCATATTAGCATATTCTATACAGGTCTTTGTTTTAAGTAAACATATTCTATACAGGTCTTTGTTTTAGGTAAGCATATTCTATACAGGTCTTTGTTTTAGGTAAGCATATTCTATTCAGGTTTAGATTTTAGATATTCTACACAGGTATTGGAGTGAATATAATTTTTCTATTTATAGTAAGGATCATTTTTCATTTACCAAGGGTCATTTTTGATTCAATTAGTATCATTTTTCATTTTAAAAGAATTATTTTCCATTTACCATTGACCATTTCATTTAATTGGGATAATTTTCATTTACTAGTGATCATTTTCTTTTGGTAATTTTGCTTTAAAATACAGGTCTTTGTTTTTATGTAAAATATAAGTACTCCTGAGCTTAAAACTTTAGAATGGGATATCCTTAATCCCGATCGGTTAATTAATCTGGAGATTAATAACGAGAGGAGAACAAACTTTATTTAATCTCGAGATTAAGAAAAAGAGTGATTCACTATATAATCCCGATATCCACCATTCAAAAGTTCCCAGCTCTGATAATATATTGGATATATGTGTGTGTGTAGAGAGTAGAGAGGAATGATAAAAATACTGCTTATCTGAAGCTAGCATGCAGGGTTTCAACATCAAACAGAATTCCTTGTTCAAAAACTTTTAAACTTTTATAAATTCTCTTTTACGTATACATATATAGCTTACACCAGGGGGGATGATAGTTTCCTACCTGTGTGCTCAGTTCGCTGTACTGTACACTTACAACTGTTTACTAATATTGATATACTATAGGTTAGGCCAGAATCTCCTTATATGCAGTACGCTCTCGGTATAGTTCATGGCCTATACAATTAGTAAAGGATTAGCGTACATCATCACTCTATACACTATAACCTCGTTGGCTTACACCACACGAAAAAAAACCTTTGAATTTATGTTTAAAAAAACGATGTTTGGAAGAAAAAAGACAAGAGATACTTTTTAAGGAATTCTGGCATTTCACCCCTGTAGGTTGAAATGATTTTATAAAATTTGGAGAATTTTGAATACCAAGCTAAAGTGCCCGGCGTTGCTTGTGGAACTAAAAAAAATGGAAAAAAGATTTTGAAACTTTTAGCCTATGTCAGCCCATTCGGTCCAGCCGTTTGGCCGACTAGAGGGAACATATATACGAATGTCTTGTTTTATTATATAGATGAAACTTTAATCTTTCAGTTCTATTTTGATATTTTTCTTCAAAAAATGGCATGTATCTTTTCCAGAGTTTTAAAAGGAGTCTTTGAGTATTTGCCACTAACTCAAATTTTCAAAAACTTTATCTTTACAATCTTATTGTGTGCACCTTTGAAATTTCATACTTAATTATTTGATCTAACAGAATTCATAGTTTGAAATGTCTAAAGTCTACGACATCGAGTTGCAAAGAGTTGGTGGCAAAGACTCAGTTTTGTTTACCTCAGAATTTTTAAAACAGCCATAAATAAAATTTATGGCTGTTAATACAACCATATTTATTTATTTGGTTGTATACTTGTATCATCCTGTTTTATTGTATTGGCCATATTTATATTATATGTGAGCTAAAGAATGTAATACAATAATGTTAAAATATGAAAGTAACAAATCATAAAACTCTGTCTTGTGTATTCATTGTATGGAGTATTACAGAGACATGTTGTGTAAAGTGTTTGAATTTAAAGGAAAAGTGAAGTAATTGTTAAGATTTTTCATTAAATAGTGCCAACAATGATTCACATCTACAGCTATTACATAAGAAAGGGTTGTGAATATGTTTTGTTTTTAAATAAAGAAACTTATAATATCTCCGTCCTCATTGAGTCTTTGCCACAAACTCTCATTTGATAATCCCTATATTCTCGCCACCTAATTTCCTAGACCTGAGATATTTCAAAGTATAATTTCGTATATTAAATCTGTTAAATCAAATAGTCTAAGTTTCAAAGGTTTAAACCACCAGGTTGCAAAGATGCAAGGATTAGAAAATTAGAAAATTAGAAAATCAATTCCTTTAACTCATTAAGCTCTAAGAGGAGGATTCATACAGACAATAAAGGTATTATTTGGTACAGTACATATTTATCTTTCACTGATGGAGGTCGTGCTCAGGGAGTAAGGAATAGAAGGGAGATATAACTGACGCGGTTCGCCCTACCATATGATTATACATGCTTTGCAGACGAGTACTCCATTTGTATAAAAAGCGGGTACTGTGCAATTGTATCTTTTACTTGAGGCCGTGCATACATAAAAAGTGGGTATTGTGCAATTGTATCTTTTACTTGAGGCCGTATATGTATAAAAAGCGGGTACTGTGCAATTGTATCTTTTACTTGAGGCCGTGTATGTATAAAAAGCGGGTACTGTGCAATTGTATCTTTTATTTGAGGCCGTGCATGTATAAAAATCGGGTTCTGTGCAATTGTATCTTTCACTAGAGGCCGTCCGGGTATAAAAAGCGGTTACTGTGCAACTGTATCCTTTATTAGAGGCCGTGCAGGTATAAAAAGCAGATATGGTCAAATTTCACCGTCACTATTTCAAGAAGTGGGTACAGATACAATTTATATCCATCACTAGAGGCTTACGTTTGTACAGTACTGCAGTTTAGTCTGATTTTACCTAAGCCCGTGCTGGGAAAAAAGAGGTACTATTTCAAATGAATTGAAATTTTGAGGGGATGTAGTTTATGAAAATATTATACTACAATTTACAGGGCAAAGTTGTGAATCATTGATGGCCAATTTTGATTAAAATGTCGCTTTAGGTCAAGTTAAATAAACATTTTGTTCAAAATTACTTGTCAATGTGTTATTGTTTTATTCGATTAGTTTTAGTCGTATTATGCGTTAAAGAACATATTAAAACATTTAGCCAAAAATATTTTTTTGATCAAATGTATTTTTTTTTTAATGTTGGAAATATTTTATCTTTTTTAATTTTTCAGGTGATCAGACCCAGGCTGTGATAAACTCAGCGTTGGTTCTCAGATACTCCCAAATTCTTCTCTTTGTTCTTGCTTCTCTTCGCTGAACCAGCTGTTCATTAACTGGACCCCTTCACAAATATATATAAATTGCCCCCCCCCGTTCCTCCCCCCCCCCCCTTTTCTAATTTTTAATGAATCCTCTTCTACTCTCATACATTCTTTAACTTAACAATATATATAATAAATAAAGTACATATATATCTTCTCTTCTCTACATATATCCACTCGTTCTTCTGTATCCTTTATCCTATTACCTGTACTCTCTCTCTCTCTCTCTCTCTCCTAGTACAGCTATACCCTCTCTCCTAATACCTGTACCCTTTCTCTCTCCTAGTACCTGTACCCTCTATCCTAGTACCTATACCCCTTCTCCTAGTACCTGTGCTCTCTCTCCTAATTTTTGTATCCTCTTTCTCTCTCCAACTACCTGAACCCTCTCTCCTAGTACCTGTGCCTTCTCTCTCTCTCCTGGTAACTGAACCCTCTTCCTCCATCCTTGTAACTGAACCATCTCTTTCCCTCCTAGCAACTACCCCTCTCCTTGTCTCCTAGTAACTGAACCCTCTTCGTCCCTCTTCGTAACTGAACCCTCTCCTTCCCTCTCAACAACTGAACCCTCTTCTTCCCTCTTAGTAACTGAACCCTCTCCTTCCCTCCTAGTAACTGAACTCTCTTCTTCCCTCTAAGTAACTGAACCCTCTCCTTCCCTCTTAGTAACTGAACCCTCTCCTTCCCTCCTAGTAACTGAACCCTCTCCTTCCCTCCTAGTAACTAATCCCTGTCTATCCCTCCTAGAAACTGATCCCGACCCTCCCCACTGTTGCCAGTTCTGTTGAAATGTATTTTCTTTCTCCTCCCAACCTTCTCAACACTGAATACTGAACCCTATTCGAGACTTGTCTCCACCCTCTCTCTGCAATCATTATATTCAAGTTTCAAGAGTAATTGAGAAACTTGACTCTGTACATTGCGGAAGGGAAGACGGAGACTGAACCGTTATTAAAGGACCATAAACCAATGAGGAAATTTGACTCTCGTCTAAAAAAACAGTCGCAATGTCAGAGAGAAAAGTAAATCTTTCTGCATATTTATATTAAAGATAGAACAAATTAATTTGAGCTAGAACGGATGTATTGAAGGATGGATGTAACTTAGTAAGAACCGATAAACTGTTGCTACATTGGTGATATCGGAATTCGGAGTGCATAGTACATGGGTCACTGCATGGAGAAGGAATACACCATTTGACAAAAAATAGATTATTCTCAAATTTAAAAGTTTAACTATTTAGGTCATAAACAATCACCAAATTTTTTTCATGAATTTTTTTTTTGATAGTTTTTGCCATTTTAAAAATGTTGGTCGATTTATAATGTATAAAGTATAATTTTGTATAACTAAACATGCTCTATAACTCTTAATTTTAGACCTACATAAAAAATTGAAAGATTTTAAAGTCTCATAAAATTTGCAGTAAATTTGCCAAAAAAAGTGAAAACTTTTTGCAAAATTTGGACTCCACAAAAAACTTTAAAATCATGTCTGACCCCAAAAACCTAGTCTTCGATGTTTGAACAACAAAATTATATGCATAGGCTAACCCCATTTTGCAAGAAAGAATGTTGATCTTCATGCATTTGGGGTCATCATGGGGTAAGAATTCAAAAATCCTATTTTAAGACCCCAAATTTTGAAAAAAACATATTATTTTTTTAAATATATCAAAATTTTTACCACAATTTTACAAAGATTACCAAAACCGAAAAGTAGATTTTTGTTTGTTAGTTTTTCAAAATTCCCGAAGGCCCCCCCCCCCAATTTGAAACTTTGTGACACCAAATTTTGAATAGACTGTGTTTGGTTCATAAAATGTAGGCCCGAATTTTGTATGAAGCCTCCAATTGTGGTGATCTGAACGCTTGACCATTTTGACATTGTTAGTAACCACATAGTTATGCGCGCTAAGATAAACTCAGATATGCGAACCATTGTTTGACCTCTGCTCCTCCATTATGACCTCGAAGAATCAAGATCTTTGAAGACTAAGTATAATGTCATGTTCAGTATAAATTTACTCATTCCTGAATTGTTCTTGGATTCCATTTCAATGAAAATAAATTGACCATTTTGAAAATGGCAAAAATTGCCCCCCAATTTTTTTTTTTTGAATGGTGAATGCTTATTACATAAATAACAAAAAATCTAAATTTCAGAAGAATTTTTTTTGTCAAATGGTGTATTCCTTCTCCATGGAATGACCCACATGTATTAAAATGTTGATCTCCTCGAATTCAAGAAAGTTCCTACACCCTCCACACGCTAACTACTCTCTCATCTGGTACTATACAACCCTCTCCCCTTCTCCTGGTACTATACAACCCTCTTCCTTTCTCCTGGTACTATACACACCCTCTCTCTCTCGTTGTACTACAGAACCCTCTTCCCTTGTCCTGGTACTATACAACCCTCTTCCCTTCTCCTTGTACTATACAACCCTCTCCCCGTCCTTGTACTATACAACCCTTTTCCCTTCTCCTGGTACTATACAACCCTCTTCCCTTCTGGTACTATACAACCCTCTCCCCTTCTCCTGGTACTATACAACCCTCTTCCTTTCTCCTGGAACTATACAACCCTCTCCCCATCACTTCTCCATATATTGTGCAACCCTCTCCCATCTCTTCTCCTGGTACTATATAAACCCCTACCCCTCACTTCTCATGGTACTACGCAACCCTCTCCCATCCAAAAAATTGAATTAAAAACACATCAAATTTTATTTTTGCGTTCTGTCAAACCTTTTATTACAAATATGGAGTTTAAGCTCTCTACTCAATTTAATCTTACAATCTATATAACTATAATAAATAATATAAACAAATGTTAAAATTGTTGAAACTTAAAAATGGAAAAATATTTCCCTTTCTTTAGAAATTAGATTATGTCGCGAAGTATACTATTTATGTCAGCTGATTTTTATAAACCTAAATGTAAAGATATAACTGTTCTTAAATAAATTCTTTTCTGTAGGTTTTCATTAGACATTTCAGGTACAATGTGCAGTGTAGTGTGCAGTGGAATGTGCAGTGGAATGTGCAGTGGAATGTGCAGTGGAATGTGCAGTGGAATGTGCAGTGGAATGTGCTCATCCATTTTTTTGCTGATCTTGTGCAAGCAAATAACTTGAATTCAAGGATTTAAACCTTTTTTCATATTTACAGTGGTCCCCAGAAAACTGTGGAATACTTGTTTTCTTTGTGCGTTTACTTACTGATTTTATAATTTGCAATTTATAAACAAATCCAGGCGCTATCCCAGAAAAAGTTTAATAGCAAAAGTTCAAAGTACAAATAGTACAAGTTTTTTGGCAACATTTTATACAATGAGACCCTTGCAACTGTGGAAGAAGAAGATGACATTATTTTATGTTGTTGTGTAATAAACCAAATAGTTTTATGCCAGTAGCTTAAAAACTCAACTTAAAAAGAGAAATGAGTTTGTATAAACTTTACAATTGCTCTGTTTTATTCTAATTAGACTATTTTAAATCAAAACCTCAGTCTAATAGTCTTCTTCCTCATTCACAGTTTTATGAGTCTCACTGTATGTTGGATTCAAAAAGAATATTTAAGGGGTCAAAGTTATTTAGCTGAGACATTAGAAAAAAAAGAATACTTAACAGAGACCATCAGGATGAGGGGAGGAAGCCCAGCTCACACAATTTTCTAGTCCGAGCCACATTCTCTTCCTCGAAATCCTCGTCCTTCGAATATTATCTTTTTAAAGTGTTCAATTCTCCAAGATAAAACAATTTTTTAAGAATCGGGTCACGTTAGAGCATTAACGAAATGTTAAATTTTTGTAAGGTCACGTTAGAGCATTAACGAAATGTTAAATTTTTGCAAATCGAAAGAAATTCTTTCAATAGAATCAAAGTTTTTGAGTGCAATATCGTGAGAAATGTTCACCTTTTTTACGCGCATTTTCAGATAATCTCGGTGTAGAATGCCGCAAATAATTCCAAGTTTTCAGAACTTTAGTCTTTTTTGTTAATTATAGAGAAAACCAAAGAATTTTATCGGATGGTTCCATGGGGAAAATGATAGGCAGAGGTATGCCGAATATTTTGCTGTTTATTTTGTATCACGAAGGTTAGCCATTACGGAGGCAGAAGAGATTTAAGTTTCACCTAAATAAAGTTTAATATCATTCTCATGGGTTTGAAGATTTCAACATAATGTAATCATTGCAATACTTTAGTCAATCCATATGTAATGCCCTAACGTGGCCTGATTTTAAAAAGATAGCTTTATGTTCAAGAATTATAAACTTAAAAACACATAATAAGCGAAGGACGAGGATTTCGAGGTGGCTCGGACGAGAAAATGAGGAGAATGTCGCTCGACGAGAAATTGTTGTGGCTTGCCTTCCTAAAGTCCAAAAAATCTCTTGAATCCTATTCCTTCAACATATTCAACACAAGCTTTAATGCTAAAGGAACTCATTTTTTTGCAGCAAACTAAAATTTTGTAATGTGTAAAATATTTTAAAATTAGATTATTTGATTTAGTAGAATTCATAGTTTGAAATATCAAAGGTTTACAACATTGGGTTGCATAATTATAGACATCACAAAATCAGAGTTTTTTTTAAATATACGGCCACAAATTAGCAATTTTCCGAATTAATTCTTAGAGAAAGTTGTTCCGCGTTTCCCGTGGAGAAAAAATAAAAAAGTGAAGAAAAAAAAAAAAATAGAAAAAAATCGATTTCTTTTAGCCTATGTAACCCCCAGGCTACCCCTTGGTTACCTAAAAAATGTCAGCTCATTCGGTCCAGCTGTTTGGCTGGCTGTAGGGAACTTTTATAAGAATGTTTTGTTTTGTTATATATGTGTCTAGAATAAGAAAAATAATGATTTTTTTTCCAGATTATCAAATATATAATGCCATTTTTTTAAAGGAGTTAATGTCTTATTGCTAAAACATTGATAGTGTAGAGTGTTTGTTTGTTTATTTCTCAAGTGTGGATACATGTACATGGAGAGCATAAGATGTTAATACCTTTTATATATTGATATTATTGTTAAACATTGTCAAAACTATGTGGATATGTTTGTATGGAATCTATAGCCGGCCATCTCGAAAATGAGGTGTTACAAAATATCACACTTAAGTAGCAATACAACTGTTTTATCCTAATGGGACTGTAAGAGTAATTTTAAGTGACCCTCCATGAAAAGATGGCAATTCCCGATTCACAACGGTACCCTTTAAAGCTTTCTCTGATTCACAACGGTACCCTTTAAAGCTTTCTCTGATTCACAACGGTACCCTTTAAAGCTTTCTCTGATTCACAAGGGTACCCTTTAAAGCTTTCTCTGATTCACAACGGTACCCTTTAAAGCTTTCTCTGATTCACAACGGTACCCTTTAAAGCTTTCTCTGATTCACAACGGTACCCTTTAAAGCTTTCTCTGATTCACAAGGGTACCCTTTAAAGCTTTCTCTGATTCACAACGGTACCCTTTAAAGCTTTGTCTGATTCACAACGGTACCCTTTAAAGCTTTCTCTGATTCACAACGGTACCCTTTAAAGCTTTCTCTGATTCACAACAGTACCCTTTAAAGCTTTGTCTGATTCACAACGGTACCCTTTAAAGCTTTCTCTGATTCACAACGGTACCCTTTAAAGCTTTCTCTGATTCACAACGGTACCCTTTGAAGCTTTGTCTGATCAAATATGAATTAGATATCAATGTTTTTAAAACTGATTATTTTTATTTGTGATTTCTTTACTATAGGAATCATCTGTATAGTCCGTATTACGTCACCAGAACTTCAGCTTATTGCAGTGCAGTATTGTTGTCACGTGATACAGACGGAAATCACTTGACCAGTATACTGCACTGCCAATGGCTGAAGTTCTGGTGACATAAAACGTACTATATGGATATATGAAATAACATTATTAATTATATCTATTAAAAATGCAAAATATATATGTATCGTTCAACGCCTGAGATTCTCAGGTTTCATCCTATACCCCCTTTCATTTTTCCTTTACAGGCCCTTTGATCACTTTTAGAAACCGACAACATGTTCCACATTATAGCATGATTAAATAATTGTTTCAAGGGTACCATTGTAAATCGGTCATTTACATCTTTGCAAGCAGGGTCACTCGAAATTTCACATACAGTCCCATTAAATGTGCTTTATCCTTTTTAAATTCTGAAAGAACCCAATGCCCAATTAATTTTATCAGTTTGAGAATCTTCAAGTCTTCAGAATATTTAAAAGGTCGAAAATGACTTAAGTCAATATATAAATAATTATCTACAATTATTTATAATGGCCCAAACGATTATCAAGTACAATAGGTGGCAACAGAGAAATGGACTAACTGTACATGACGTCACAAGTGTCAAATATACTAAGTAAAACGAAATTTTCTCACATTAGTTGAAATGTTCTCCAAGATTAAATAAAAAAGTGTTAAAACAGAAAATAAAGAACACATAAAATTGCACTTATTTCACTGTAAGAAAAGCACTTTATTCTAAAATTATCACTTGTATTAATAATTTTGTTGGACACAAAATCTGAATTGACACTTGTGACGACAGAATACAACTGTACTGAGAGTGTACAAATTCTTTGGTGCCATCTATTGTACTATAATCTATTTGGTAATGGCTACTTAATATTCATACTTTCTATAGTTTCTTAGATTCTGGAATTGTTTAAAAATTATAAGATTAACAGTGTATTATCTCAGTGGGATAGATGGCAGACAATGTAGAGGAATATAAGAACAAAGCTGCAAAAAGGAAACTAGGATACTAATAATTTCTTGCTGATGTCTAAACCATCGAATTCTTTCGTATTTTGAGTTTAAAGATGCATAGTAAACTTTTTTCTAGTAAAAACAATTCTAGAGAACGATCTAAAGATGAACTTAACGAAATTAAATATATAATAAAAGATTGTATTCAACCTTAATATCGTCATATAAGTTTAATTCGGGTCGTCTATAACGTTAATAAAGAATAAATGAGTCCACTATATGTATATAGAATAGATTGGGGTGGAATGGCTGGGGCTGATTTATATTCTGACTGTGTGATATTATATCCGGAATTGCCACACTAACCACTGGGAAAATCGTTCACCAGTCTTCTCATAAATCTTTAAAACAAAATGGAAAATTTCGTTCCTTTCCTTTTTATTGATGAATTCAATATGGGTTCAAGATAGATTGAGGAGTGGAAACAGAGATAGAAAACTAGTTAGAGGTTGGATGTAGGAAAGGTTCAGGATGAGTTGAG